ATGAACTTGTTCTCTCATTTTAGTTGTATGCTAATAGGTATGTGTTATGTGTTGACTTTAGTGCAGATAAGTCATATAAATCCATATGAAAATGGATATACTTTTTACAATGTGGAAAGTAAAGCTCATCCCAAGGCAAAAGTCTGCTGTCTTTTAAGCTAGTAGGACTACCAAAATTATTGGGATTGCATTGGTGTAACAGAGAAAAGAATTGCATTCTTTCTGGTAAATCACTCGGAAAATAACACCAGCTAGATACAAGGCTGCATTGGCCATTTTTCCCTCACTGACAACCTCACCGGAATCCCCAAGTGTTTGCTGTAAACTAAACAGTGTTTCAGTATCACACACTAGTCTTTATAAACAACTTCTACTTCTTACCAATTACTTCCTCTTCCATACCATTCCTTTTTTGCATTTCCTCTAATTTTTGTTCTCTTAATCTTTATTAATGTAATGGGGTTTAGACAGAAACATTATTTGTGTTCATACTTATTGAAAATGTCTCTGCTGCCTTGTGAAACACAGCTGAGAGAAACCTTAATTTGAGAAGAATTATTGTTTTGCAAAACGAGTATTGTTACATTAGCTGAGCGCTGTATTTAAATTGCTTTTTGTTACAATAGGTCTCACTTGGACTATTTGGATAGTTCAGTACTGTACATGGAAAGGTAGAATTGCACTAATAAAATCAAGCTGCAAGTACATTTCATCTGCCATGTGGTACTTTCAGTGCTTTATAATTAACTTTGGACAAAAATTACCCATTCAAGCCCAAGGGATTAATTTTCCGCTAACTATATTTGTGCATTACAGGAAAAACAGTTATCCCTTGGTTTCCTGGTCTTGCATGAGCGGTTTACTGCGTTTTTAACCTACAATAATTGTGGATGAATTCCAGGTGTGTGCTTGCCCCTCATGGAGTGAATTTCAGGCAGTCTCATGTCTTTTTATTTAATTCTGGGAACAGAAATGCCCTAAACCAGGTTTCGTCCCTCCGGGTGCCTCTGCTCAGCATGACCTGGCTCTCAGGGAGGCACCTACACTAGTTCTGAGCCCAGGGACCTGCTCCCACCGGGACCCCAGCATGGATACTGATACACAGCACCCATCCAGCATACACCCCCCCAGCTTCCAGCACTTAGCAGGTTAACAACACCCTCCTGATAATTTTTGTTATATTGGATCACCCATTTTTTAATCCCCTCCACCTAAATTATTGTCCTTCTTCCTGACTCATTGACTAGCCTAGCCCTTATCCCTCACTTTGGAGGATGTGTCAGTGGCAATGAAAGTGCTGATCTTGTTAGCCTCCTTGGCATGTTATTTGCCTTTTGGAAGAAGATAAATAGAGGAAGGCAGGTGATTCCTGCCAGTGCCAAGGAGAGGCTCTCAAGACAGGCTCTTACCTGGGTGCTACTAAAACAATCCAGTGAGAAAAGGTCATCTTGAATTTAACTTTTATACATAGGCAGTCACATTACCATATACCAAAGACACCAACCTGCATTAAAAAGAATCAATGCAGATGAGTACAAATATTTCAATGTCCAAACAAATCTCCCAAGCTCTCCCCTCTATTTTGGGGTGATACTGAATAGCAATGTTAAACATTCCAAGGATTTCAAAATAATTTGAATTTGTTTGCTTTCCTTTTTACTGTTTTTGAACAGTTCAGAAACCAATGAATAACTCCCAAAACTTTCAATAGTCTAAAATTACTTTAAAGAAGTAAAAATGTGGAAATGTATATCAGATAGTCTTTCAACCACCTCTAGTTCTTAAGTCATTATTAAAGAATATTCTAGATTCCAAATAGGAAACATGAACTGTTAATAACACCCTGCACTAAACAAGACATTTATGAGCTCCGGAGTTCTTACTACAAGTGATATTGAATGGGATTGTTTTAGGACACATGAGTCTGTCTGCAGGATGGGAGAGCACCTCCTGAGAGGACTCAGCAGCAAAGTCCTGACCCGGCTCAAACAAGCACCAAACCAATTCTCGGCAGCCTCGTGATGGGCTTAGCATGTAAGGAAAAAGCTACGCACATATTGCCACCTGAATTTTCTCCATCTAAACCATTGAGGACAAAAGCGTCTTAAAAAGGGCACTCAGAAAAGTGGACCACACCTTGTCTATTCTCCAGGATGATGACCACCTCGTAGACCAGACGGTTACTAATAAATATATCAGTATAAATAAATGTATTAGGCTATAGGAACTGAAGTTTATCAGCTAAATGGGGACAGAAAGTCTGTTGATAACCTGTGTGCCATCACTCGAGGTGTGTCAGGCTTGATGACACATGGGCGTGACTGGAGGACTTTGGGAGATGGGAGGAAAAGAAGGAAAATAGAGATGACTGGCACGAAGGCGTACTGCCCATCTTGCAGGGGAAATCGGTCTGCCTGCTAAGGAGAGGAGGAAGCGAAAGAAGACATACAGATGGTCTGACTCCCAGTGGTGACAGGAGCAGTTGGTCTCCTCTCTTTCCAATAGTGACAGTCGCTGTCACCTTATTTTGAAGTCTTCTAACGGAAGAGTGGGAGCCCGTGTGGTACCGAAACGAGCAAATGGATAAATCACGTAACTAATCGTAACCCTTTGGTCTAGGAAGAGCGATGGTGGCTGGTGGCACCTGGCGACAGCCTGCAATAGCTGAATGTGCTCTTTCCCACCCCGAGAACTTCAGCCTAAGGAGGAAAGAAAGTTTGCACTATTTATTATAGGAAAAGGTCTTTCAGAGTCAAGCCAGTTACTGAGCACATGTTTATAATGCTGCTTTCCTAGCAGTGTAGGACAGCTCGGGACCCATAGGCTGCCGTCTCATTCAGGCACATTCCTCTGCAGCACCTTTTTAAATAGGCCAAAAGGACACCTTATGCACACAGTGCTATCAAAACAGGAAGGTACCAAAAAATGTCCCCCCAGAGTAAGATTATTCTCTCTATTAACTCTGTACTGCACCCAAAAGGCACCATTTTACCTAAGAAGCAGCCAGTGCTCCAACAGGCAGGGAGAGAGAGATGGATGGTTCTCGGTTCAGGGAGGAATAGAGAACTTTCTCTTGGGAAAACTTGCTTTCTCTACACAGTGCTACCATTGGCTCTTTTCTTCTCAGGGTGGTGGAAAAGCAGTTATTTTTGCCAAGATAAAATTTTCAGAAGCACACAAAATGTTTTAGGGCCCTGTGAAACCTTTTTTTCAAAGTGATTTTCCCCTTTAAAAAAATAAAAGAAGAAAAAGAAAAAAACAACCCAGATTTTTTTGAGGATTTTTTCTCACTCAGTCCACCAATTTCAAAGGAAGTCAGTTATCTCACAGCGCTCTACATAAAACAAGTGAAATAACAACATGAATTTAAAGCAGATCAAATATACCGAATCAATCACTTGCATGAATACTGCCATTAATTAATTTAAATTTCAGTTAGCATAATTCCCTTTGGAACAGAGGCATACTCAATCAGATTAAAGACATTTTAATCCACATTTGTCCTCTCTAATACGACATCCCTACACTTATTTGCATTAAATTCCCCTCCCATGTTTAGAAAAGTCCTAAGTAACCACAAACTTGGACCTAAATCTTGCATCTTTTTTGCACTACTGAAAATGGGACCTGGTTTTGTAAGCTACCCAAATGCTACTGGATATTTTAACGACGATCTTGCTTCCCCCGACTGCTTCATTCGCTTGCTCTGCCCGGAGAAATGGAGGGTACGTGCGCTCCGCACCACCGCACCCTGCGCTCCTGGGGCTCCTTCCACCACAGCAGACCCCGGAGCTGCGCCGGCAGCTGCATGTCAGGCTGAACAGAGACCCCATTTCCTCTTTTTTTTAAAGGAAGTATACCAAGATTGGGAAAACCACAAGGCAGGGTTAAGTCACTGCACGGAGAACGAGAACAAACTTTTGTAACAAACTGAATCACACCACCACTGCACTTGCTGTCTGACATAGGATCCCCAGAGTGCAACACGGGAACAATTAGAGTGTTTCCAGAGAGAAACTGAAAGATTGAGATAGACCCAAGGGAAGGCAGCCAGGATATTCTTCATCTTCCACGGTGATCTAGCTGGGCCATAACTAGCCCCAGTACCAAGGCAGAGAGAGTTCATGAGAGGTCCTCTCCCATCTCGGTGCTTCTGCAGTAAATCTGCAGCGCTCGTGCGCAACTTCAGCTGTCTGAAGATTGCTTCATCCCCAGCAGTTTCCAGGAGAGGAGAGTTTGCAACCCAAGACCTAAGGACAAGATGTCCTTCTGGAGATTTTTTCCAGCTTTTCTCTCTCTCTCTTTTTCTAAGGAACAATAATTAGAGCATTGATAGCAAAGGTCTACAGCCCTCTTGGTCAGAAGATATCAGGACATACAGTCCATAATTTATTAGGCCACATGATTAGTCTCTTTTCAGATACTAGTCACGCAAACTAACCTGTAGTGCCACACTTTTTTTTTTTAACAGATATAATGCCCAGCATTAGCTTGAGGGCAAAGCTGGTTCTCAGGAGCTGTGCTGTTTATTCCCTCCTGATACATTGCTGTCAGCGAGCGGCATCTCTGCGAGCGTCAGCAGTTACACGCATGCACAGCTAGACCCTCTGTAGGTGAGGGAGGGTTTGCATTTCTGCAAGACAGATAACGCTGGAGAGCATTATCCTTTTGCCTGCTGCTGCTCCCTGTGATGCAGCACGGACTCCGGTACCTCTCTGCACAACCAGGAAAAGATTTCTCTATTTTTTTTCAAACGCTGAGCCCAGGGTATACAGAGATGTTACAGACGAGAAATGGTGCTCTCGCAACCCGTGATTGCCTTTTGCTCGGTCATATTACATGTAAACATGGCAGGTCCCTTTTCCATGGCATCCTCTTGGTGATGCCTTCCAAAGCAAACCCCCAAACTCTTATGCAAAAGCAGAAATGATGCCCAGAAGTATGCACAACTCCCACAAGGCGCCACTGAGTTAACCGTTAAACCATATTCCAAAGTTTACCTTAGTTCCTTGAAGGGGTCTGCCCTGACATTGGGAGTTTCTATAGATTTAGGGAACACTGTGCCTTCTGCTCCTGAAATCACAAAACAAAACAGAAGACAAATTGTAAACATTATAAGCTGTTATCAGGGGAGTGATTGTCAAATCATACCTAGGTGCAATTTAACCCGCAACCTGGCCCCATTTCTCTCTTGCACACATCCCTTCCGTCCCCAGGAAAAGCCAGACCTTGATCGTCTGAAATTGGTCGCCTTGATTACAACTGGGATTTGCCTGTAAACTGCACTTCTGGCTGTAAAAGCACCTGCTTGCACCCCGACTGCGGGAAGTGTTTGCTGCCCCAACTGACGCAGGGAGCTCGGAACAGATACCCCCTTGGTAAGCTGGCACCTAATCCAGCTATGTCCCTCATTAACGAACCTGGATGCATGTCACGACATTTTTCTTTTGCTGGACTCCGAGACATACTCAAAGGAGAAAACCAAAATTTGGCTCGATTGCTGTAAACGTGTCTCAGATCAGGCTGTGCTCCTGCCTGGGGAAAAGGAGGGAGGTGTCCACCTGAAGAAACGCAGCTCAGACAGGCAGCAGACTCCGCTCTAGTGCCAGCCTGGCCACCAGTTCGATGTGTGACCCAGAAGTCATTTAACTTCTGCTCATTTCCCCCTTCTCTTAGAGAGGGTGGGGAAGGCAGCACTATCCCCATTTGCTGACTGTTTTCAGATCACAAGCTGCAAACTGCTAGGTAATATAAACAGCCTTCCTAAGTTTCAGGCCACTGCAATCCTCTTCCATGGCCACCTGCATAGCCCAGGTTGGGCCATTTCATCCAGACATCCCTGGACTGGGTCCATATTTAGAGACTTGAGCCACGCTGTGTCTCTCTAGAAAAGATGCGCTCTCCCCATTGTTTTAAGCCTAAGGCAGCCCATGCCATCCTCTGGGAAGCCTTTCCACTAATTGTTCTCATTTAAAAATATGCATCTGAATGGGCCTCACTTAAGCTTTCAGCCACTGAATCTTCTCGTGTCCTCATGTGCCAGACAATTGGCCCTGCATGAGCAGACTCTCCACCTTCTGTGGACACTTGCTGATGGTGTCCCAACCACCACAACCTTCTCTGATTCTCTCAAAAGCTACGGCTTTTGGAATCATTCACTGTGAAGCAGATTTTCTGGACTTCTCATTGCTCTTTTCTGAACCCATTCCACTTTTAAAATACCCTGTCGGGACACAGGGTACCCCCAGGTGCTGTCACTGATGCTCTATGCTGCAGAACGTCACGTTCTCGCTCCCATTGAAACTTCCAACTAAAAGACAGCTAAGAATGGTACAAACTGCCTTACACACAGCAGTGCACTCGAAATTAATGTTCATGTTCTCTAATATCTAGCTGCCTACCCAGTGAGCAAATATGACCTGTATTCTTAAATTTAGACCTGTGGTCTTGTGTTCAGATGCATTGTGTCATTCATTATCTGTAGTTGTCACAGCAGTTTGAATGTCAGCATGCAAACAGCGCCAGTGGCATTTTTTTATTTCCTTAATTTTTTCTTTGATAAAGCTATTGGTGCAACCTACACATCCTGATGAGACCTTTTACACCTACTGTTTGAGATCTCTCTTAACACGTGCTATTATAGCTGTTACCTATGTGCACTCCGGAAGTCATCACTAGAATAAAAAATGTTCTGTAATGATGCAAAACATGTTAATACAACATCTTTCTGTAACTTCTGGTGTGAGAAACACCTGTGGCTTCAATAAGACTACACTTTCTTTGCATTGAAACAAATTAACTAAGCTCTCCCACTGTGTTAAAGAAAAAAAATCAGAATGAAAATAAGCACTCTAACATTTATTTAAAAAAACCCAACTCCTTTTTAACCTAGAGAAAAACAAAGTAATCTTAAAGATGATAAAAGCAGTCTGAAGTTTGAAGCGTTATACTTGGAATTGAAATTGATCCTATGGCACAATACAGATATTTAGCTCTTAACTTTACTATAAGCCTTCATCGTTACAAGTTGTCAAAAGCAGCTGTAACTTGCCAGCCATGAAGGTTATTATTATCAGATCTGTCGCCTTTCAACAGTTTCCAAATGATTTAAGTCTCTGCTTATCTACACAATTGCCTTGGCTATTAGCTTTGCAATGAAACTTAGCAAAAGATGCAACCTGCCCACATTTGCATAATAAAACAATGATTTTTGAGGGGAGGAAGATGAGGAAGTGCAGCTGGACAGGTGCAATAGCAATTGTTGTACCTTTTCCACCCGTATTGCTTAAATGATGACTTTATGCTGGCAATTTTAATTAATTTTTACACACTTTAAGTCAGCTAGTTAAGTTACGCAAAGCCCAAAATAACGATCTGCACATAACCAGAAATGCCTGCAGAATAAAGAGAAATTTTAGCATATCTCTAATGACTTGGGGTTTTCCAGACTTTCATTATTTAATTTAAATGCAGGAAGAAACTTTGGAAGCAAAGCCAGTGAAGACTTCAATGCAGTCATTTCAGGAAGGCTGAAAATAAAAAAGCCTGCTTTTCCTTTCTCCATCTCATTGCTTTCCTTCCCCTACACACAGTTCTTAAACCCTCTTTTCCTGTCATCTTTACTCCCAGATCCATGGAAGAGTCCCTTACACACTGGAACCGGAATGAGATTTCCAAATCCTTCTGTTTCTCTCCTTTGATAGGAATTAGAAGTGAACGCTACCTGCCTTGATAAGGCTGCCTGCCTTGACAATATCGTTTCTTATTATTCTGTTTTAAGAGCACAAGATCTCCCAAAGGGTCACTTGTCCCTGTCACTGAGTAGGACATCAGCCACGAGGGGATGTCTAGGGACCAGGACTGAGACATGCCTCGCTTGACTCCGGCTGTCAGCAGCTGAGGGACTCCTTGAGCTGGCTGTGCCATCCAGCCACTGGAGAGACACTAATAAGCTTTCCTCACCTCACCTAATTATCATTTTAAGTGTCCCCATTTCTGTAACAGGGGGCTCACAGATTAATGAAAATACTCTGGAGAAGTTCTTCCTTTGGTTTCAACCTGCTGCCTGATGATTTCACTGGATGCTTGTTCTGCCCTGGACTGTGAAAAACTGTAAATAACCATCCTCTTCTTTTTGTGCTACTGGAAATTTTATAGACCTCAAAGGTACCCAGTCCCACCAGTCCTCTCTCTTCTACTATGAAGAGTCTCGGTCTCTGCCCGGGGGATCTGCACCTCCCACAGTGCCTCCTGATGGAAACAACTGGCTTGGGCAGATTCAACTACGCTGGACATTTGTGTCAAAGTCTGGCTCTTGGCCACTATGGAAGTCCCTAGCCAGGCTACGATAGCATCAGTGTTGGATGGCGTTGAAAGAGAAGGCGTTAAGCTGGAGGAAGTGACCTCATTTAGTGGTTTTACTAAAGGCTTTGGCAAAAAAAGAAAGAAAGTTTGAGGGAAATGTGCTGTTGACACTGAATCAGGCTATTCTGGCTCTGCAGAGGAGAACTGGGTCATGGAGAAACCAGTGTTTGACCTCAGGGAGTGGAAGAAGAGAGAGAGGGTGAAATTTAAAAATATGAAGTCCAAGGTCATGTGCTTAGAAAGTAATAAAAATTACTTCCCATGTTGGATGGGAACATCTCTGGATAAAGGCATAGTGCTACTCATGATTCATGGCAGTGGGACAGGGCCAAAGGGAAGGCAAACGTGACATTTAACTGAAAGGCAAGAGGCAAGTCTAACAGGAACATGAAAAAACTCACATTATTTTAAGAATCTTCAGTGAATCCTTGAACTCTTATGTAGCCCCAGCTCATCCCCAGTGAGGAAAGTGTACAGAGAGGAAATACGGTCATGACTGCACCAACAGAAAAAGTCTATCCTACAAAAGAAGACTAAAAGGACTTCGCTTTTTAGCTTAGCAGCATGATGGCTAAGGAAGGATACGAATGCTGTTTATAAATATAGTAGGAGGATAAATAACATTTAAATAAACATTAAAATAAAAAACTTTAAAAAAGAAGTACGGGCTCTAGGTCAATGTTGGCATGAGAGCAAGTGGCAATAAACTGGTCCCAAATATATTTGTGAAGAAAAGTAAGTGTTTACTAACCAAAAGAGGAGCAAAAATGGGAGCAGCTTTTCAGTTAGATGGGACAGATAATCTAACATATTTGACAAATTCATGACTATAAGACTTGGTGTCTCAAAAGCAAGGGACAATATTTGCAGGACCAGAAAGTGCATTCCAGTTGTGCACTCTCCTAGTCTTATTTTCACTATCCTCCACCCGATGAATGATGGGTTTTTGCAAATGGTATTAATGCACAGCTCCAGGAGGTCAAGAATTATCTGCTACAATCTCCCTCCTCAATCAAAGCTACTATATCAATCTTCTCCCTTTACTGAGTATAAAGCAAATAAATTAAATATATTATTGTATAACACAGTTTCTGCTTCCTGAATTATCTGTTATTAAAACATTTGCTATTTACCATGAAAAATGCATAACACAAAATTTCTATTTCATTGCAAAGTACTGAAAGTATTTTTTTTTGTCTTATGAGACTCTCTGCTGCTGCTAAGAGTAACTTACCTGTAAACAGCCAAAGACAGTTAGGAGAAAACAATAATTTAATTTGTATTTAAGCATTCTATACTGTGCAACCCTAAGCAATACATTGGTCTTTCTCACAGCATTGTATCAGAGCAACTTCTGTTAAAAGCCATACTTACTGATTCCCTCTTCTGACACCGTGTAATTTACCACCGATAAATGTTCATAAACAGTTTGACTGAAAAATCCATAAAGCCATTTTGGCTTTATTTTAAGTTCCATCTAATATCCCTCAAAAATGATTTCATCAATGTGTTTCCATTAGCTGGTTCTCTGCCCAATAACTTAATTCCACACAATCAGTCAGGAACTTATAAAGCGTATGACAGGACCTACCTAAAGCGTTTTGAATCACCATAAAGATTCACTCAAAGAGTGGTGGGTTTTTTTCCCTTCTAGTGCATAAGGTGTGAGGGCACGAACGTGAAAGACCCCTATATGTGTTCACTTCATG